CTCATTCAGGGCTGATCACCACCACGGAAGGAAGTGCTACCAGAGCTCTGGAGGAAAAGCAGTGAGCCGACTGAACCACAGAGGCCAGTCAGCTGGGAGTGGCCCCTGACGAGGCTGGACATTTCCACCCTGTGACGTGGTTAATCAAAACAATCGGATAACAATCACTATGAACAAAAAGACTGATCCTGATCTTATAATTGTAAGCCCTGTTACAGAACATATACTATGTATGAAAGATCAATAGCTGATCTCACAAGATAATTGATAATACACTGTCATGAAAGAAACCATAAGAAAATATTTTGCTTGTGGTCACCATATTTGTGCGTACGAATAGCAATACTGGGTCAGACCAAAGGTCCATTAGCCTAGCATCCTGTCTCCCAACAGTGAGTCAATGCTAGGTGCTTCAAAGAGAATGATCAGAACAAGTAATCAAGTGATCTACCTCATATTGCCCATTCCTAGCTTCAGGGAGTAGTAATTGGTAGTTACCCAAGTCTTTTTTTCCTGACATACATTTGGAGATCTTTTGTATTAAGACAGATATTTTGTAATTGTAGGTGGTTGGTAACAGAAGAGCCATGCTGGGAAAGTAGGCTGTTTACATATCACAATTGCTAATGAACTGGCTTCCTGAATTTGCAACAATGCAATGCAATGCTAGAAACTCCATGTTTACTAGCTATTAGGGACGTGAATGTGTAATCAACTACACGATTAACAGATAATCCTAGGCTTATCAGATAATTCTATCTACAACATGCATTTCCCCCCTCCTTGCTGCCTCTGTATCAGAGGCACTGGATCTAGCAGAGCCACCTCCCCACCACACATGGCTGCCTCTGATAAAGAGGCAGCAGCATGGAGGGTGAGGTGGGCAGGCGGGAGCCGGTATACACTGTAAGCCCTGAATGCCGGCTCTGCGAAGCAGCCTGCCCCACTTGCTGCCTCCCACAGCAGGAGGCAGGAGCTGGTGCTCAGTGGGGAGTCGGCTTACAAGCACTGGTCTCCTGCACCCCCAGTGGGGCTGGGGGGCAGGGGAGGCTGCCGTAGAGCAGCCTCTGTCCACAGTAGGTCCAGGCTTGCCACAGATATAGGCTGCTGTGTGGGATGCTGGTGCAACCTGTGTCCGCAGGACAGGTGAGATCCACTTTGCACAGGATGGCACGGGGTTCCCCAGGGGTGGGGCCAGGACTATCAAATAATCATGTAACCAATCATATTTGGTGCGATTACCCGATTATTAAATGACATTATATCTAACATCCCTAGTAGCTACCCACTTGTTCTCAAATTTTGGCAACATGTTCCTATTCAGGAAGCTTCTTTGGGGATGATAAGGAAAAAGTTAACAGAGGAGTACGCAAAAAAGCAAATATGTGTTCTGTTGAACCTGTCTCTGCTGAGTCTGAGAAATTAACTATAGAAGGAAGAAAAAGCGAAATCATGAAAAAGTAAGCAGCTGAGGAAAATCAATACAAACATAGGAAAGGAAAATATTAAAACAAAGTGTTCAAAGGGGATGCCCTTGGAAGACATGTAGAAGAGGACTTTTTTTTTAAGCTGCTGACTAATAGGTTTAGAAGAAACTGGCCCAGATTGCAATCGTCTTGTTTACCAAACTACTTACAATTGTAATTTCATCCTTTAGGGATTTCTGGTGTACCCCAACTATACTATTGTGTAATGCAGCTGTCTTGCTGGTCAGGAGAACTGAAGGTCAAAGTAAATACAGCTCGTTTAAAACAGTTCAAGGATTTTTTTTCGTTTTTCTAAAATCCAAATCCTATTGAATCAAGAACAGTAACAATGTCAGTTTGCCCTTCCATACCTTTTTATAAGAATGTTAGGGAGCATGACTAGTGGTTAGAGCAACACAATCCAAACACCTGGATTCTATTCACCTTGCAATGGACCATGCTATGTGACTATGAGCAAGTCACTTACCCTCCCTATTTCTCAGTATCCTCTTATGGATAATATTGCTAATATTGTAAGCTTTCTAGTGGCATTGTATGCATTAATAGTTGTGATGTGCTTAGAGATCTTCAAATTAACTGTGCATAGGATGCAAATTGATACTAATATGAGTAATTCTAAGATAGAAAAGCAACTATTTAACAAAACATCTTAACCCATCTGTCATCAGTGAACCAAACTGATCTCTTGGACATATACACCCAAGGATCCCAGTATCTTCAGTGAAACCTGTACATGTGAATCTTAGAGCAGGCATTGGCCCTGTGCAATTCTCTATGACAAAAAAACAAACACTGTTATCTGCGTACATAGCAATAACTCAAAACCACATAGCTGTGCATATACCTAGCTTAGGGAAACAAATTACTATCATTTCCATAGTCATCTTTACCCTATTAGCAACAAAGAATTTAAAGTAACTATGGGGACCCCAAATCAGATCTCAAGCTTCTGGTAGGGGGTGCTACTACAATACAAAACAACAGTATTTTGATTAAATAATGCCTAGCTAAACTGCAACAGAGTTGTGAATGGATACAACAGGTATGAATAATTTGGCCAAATATATTTCAATGAAAACTTCTATATAAACCTTCTTTAGACTCTTCTGCCATCTGTACACCTAAAGCAAGTTCTATATTTCATTAGTGTATTTCCCCCTAATTTCCAACAGTCTCTATTTAGAAGCTCTCTCTCTCCTACTCCAGTATATTTTAATGGAGTTTGAAGCGATGTACCTATTAGTGGATCTCAAATGTTGGCAGGTATGCATTTGCTTGTTTATTATAATTAGCTCCTATTTCAAACAGTGGAAGAAGGAACCCTCCTATTATTCCATCTGCAGCAGATTTCTTTTTAATTGTAGAGCATCTGCAGTTAAAAAGGTTTGCAGTCCTTTTAAGCCGCTGAGCTTACGACTCAGCAGATGGTGCCAAATACAGCAGTATTAAACACAAAAAATGGCTTTTTTCAAAAATAAATAGTTCTTGGTTTGAAGAGGATACTGTGATTAGCACAGAGAATTAAGTACTTTTACTTAATGTGAGCATTAGAGTCCAAAATATCCTTTTCAGATATGTAGATGTATGTGTGAGAGTATGTGTGTATATGCTTCTTTTATTAAGAGTGCTTTCCCAGAAAGGACTGAAATTATGTCATCGATGTTAACTCTTTAATTGTAATTGCTTATTGTTGGAAGCATTAATTCGCTTTGTTGAATGTTAATATAATGGATCCCAGTTTTGGATTACTGTAAAAGGGTGGTTTAGATCTGAGAACTAGGCTACAAAACTGCTTTCCATCTGACATTCACAGGAGAGAGTGAATTTAAGTCTCAGAGGGGTAGCCGTGTTAGTCTGTAACTTTAAAAATGAGTAGACCTGTATACCTTAAGGGTATTGCCTACAAAAGCTCATGATACTATATATATGTTTTTGTTAGTCTTTAAGGTGCTACAGGACTACTCGTTTTTTAGATTTAAGGTTATTAATCAGGCTTATGTTTAATCAAAGGCCGTTGTCTGTAGTAAGGAGAAAAATCCACAGATGGAAGAATTGAATATGTCATCTAGAATGTTTATGTTTACTCAGAGGGCTGGTTAATAACCCCTTGGAGATGACCAGGCTGGAGTTCATGTTGTTAGCAATAATGTACAGTATATTGATATATGGCAGTGGAAAACTGACTCCTTTATCAAGCAGAACTAAAGTATAAACAGTTCTTAACATATAAAAACAGCATGCAAATTCTATGGGTCTATTTTAAAAGACTTGTTTGAAAAATTGGCCTTCTGTATTTTTGTGTGTGTGTGTGTGTGTGTGTGTGTGTGTGTGTGTGTGTGTGTGTGTGTGTGTGTGTGTGTGT